GATGCAGACAGGACTCAAAGGCTCAAACATCAGAAGAAAAAATGCATGTGCACAATAAATGCACAATAAACTTATTTCTTAACAAAAATCAAAGGCTGTTGAGGCAGCAAAACCTACTAAATAAATATCTCAAAGGAAAAACACAGGGAGGAACTCAGAGGGAACTCTCGACTGGCTGGGAGAAAACAGCGCAACACAGAACAGAGGCGGCAACAAGAAAGCACAGAATATAAAGGAGCACTAACATGGGAGGAATGGAAAACACCTGGGGAGCGACAACAAGGATCAGGTGAGAGTCGATGGGGCAGGAGCCGGGAAGTGACTGAGAAGAGCTGAACCGATGAATGACAAGTAACAGAACTAAAACATGAGCCCAAAACACAGGAAGGTAAATGTCTTAGGAAAAAAGGGATTCCCAAAACAACCAGGTGTACGCTTTGTCATATTTATCTACAAAGCTTTGGAGAACAGCCAGCAATCACAGAAGATCAATGCTTTCACCTGTCTAAGATTCTGACCTGTTCTGACTTCCTGAACAGGAAAAAATCAGTTTTGTAGAACGTCCAGCTGTCAGGCCCTCCCCGTCCTTCCAGCTTATCAGAACCAGTTGCAGGAGGGAATCTGGAAGGCCAAGCACTCCCGAAGAAACACGTCACTGTAATCGTATCAATCAGACCTTGAGGTAATAGAATTATCTCTTGCTGTCCCTTTACTGCCTGGTCACATGAAGACTGATTATTGCATAGAGTAAGGTGTTTTTTTTAACAACCCGGAGCAGCTGATTAACATATGAAAAGCTCAAATATCTCAACTACAGCCCCAAATACCAAACGAGTTGAAAAGGAGGTGCCGTGGACGAATTCCTGTCAACCTGGTGGTGGTGCTCGAGTACCTGACCACTGAGATCCTGGAGCTAGTGGGAAACTCAGCTCGTGACAACGGGAGGACCGGGATCATCTCCCAGCACCTTCAGCTGTCCGTGGCAATGAGGAGCTTGGCCGACTGATGGGAGGAGTGACCATCGCTCTGGGAGGAATTCTGCTCGGCATTTTAGCAGCTCTGCTGTCCAAGAGGACCGAGAGGCCCGCCGGATCTGACAGCAAACTGGATCTGGGTGGACGGATTGGTATCTGTGGCCATTTCTTTGGATTTGCTGCAGGAGATCCTTCCTGCCCACAGCTATCAGTGTCTATAACAATTCTTGGATGAAACCAGGATAATGACAACACTTAATTTACCTCTGGGATTAACAAAGTATTTTTGAGTTCAACTGAATTGAATTGAAGGATCATGGAACATTTTTAATATCGTTCACAATAACAATAAAAGAACAGTGAAAATTCTGGAGCATGGTGAGCGCAAATAATACACAATCCCTTACAGCAACACGTCCATGAAGGGAATAAACATGAAAAATAAACTCCACTACCAATAAATAACCAAAACACACACATCGTGGCATTTAGGTTTAGTTGCAGTCGTGCACTCAGTGACTCCTTTCACTACATTCATTACATTACATCCAGTGCTTCGTGAGATCTTTGTGCTCAAAGGTAAACAGGGTTGACTCCAACAATTATTGCAAAGGTTTTAGCCAAGGGTGCTGTGCAATGTGTTGCAATCTAAGTATGCGTTGGGGACTATGCTCAGTTACTACCACACCAAATTTGAGCTCATTATCTGTCAAATGTAATGAGTTCAAGCTACTTTCGTTGGCTAAGATCGCCTTGCAGAGACAACCATTTTCAGTGGAGATGATTCCAAAAGTTAATCAGTTGTAGATGTGCACCCAGTGGTGCCGTCCCAAAAGTTTCATTAAATTCGTTCACTGATTTATGAGATACTTTGTTGCTAATGACGACACGCACTCACAGACAAGGGCAAAACATGATCACTCTGCCTTTGCCTTCAGTGGCAGGTGATAAAAAGGATGGAAGAAAATACAGAAAATGTAGAAAACGATGCCAAACATGATCCAGTCAGGAGCTGAGCGTCTGACCAAACCAGCCAGTTGGTTACAAACCCTCCACGTAGCAGCGGCGCAGCCTTTTCAAGACTTGTGTATATTTTAATGTAAAATCTTCGCTCGCAGAGATTGCCATGTTTTATGTTTTTCTTTTTTTTTTTACTAAAATGTCTCCTATCTAAATTGTGTACCTGTTCTTGTAATTGTTTTACATCCCCCTGAGAAAAACAAGTCCAGTCTGAGCTCCAAGATGGATAAAAATCAGTTTCTAGCATTTTTCCGTGTCTTATCAGGCTGCTGTTTAAACAAAACCGGCTTCAGTTTCTATCAGAGCATATCAGTTTAACAACCCCCGTCGATTGCATGACTCTTTCATGAGGAAAATTCTGCTACTGGAACCCCCCCCCCTCCAGCAGAGCAGCTTTGTATTACGATCCAATCTAGGAGACATTTAATTAAGGTCTATAACTCTTCACTAAGAACTGCTCAAGGAACTGACAGTTTTTTTTTGTTCTTTTAAACTGAAACACCTTTTTGCACCAGTGGGTATAATACTGGAAAATCACATAAAAGTAGAACACGACAACAACATGGTATAATATGAACTGACACGACATAATCCTTCTACCCATTCAATTATTTTTAAGAAGCGACTTGACGTTTTCTCAAACTCTTTCTCAGATCTGGAGTTGAAGACAAACTAGACAATCTTCTTTACTTGGTATATTGTTTTTATTCTTTATCATTTGTGTCTGCAGAAACTGGGCCTGGTCGTATTCAGAGCATGGGGAACGATCACTTCAAGGCAAAAGTCTCTGTTTTGTTTGTGACCTTGACTTCAGGAGGCTGCTGGACGCTGCAGCTACAGTTATCCTTCTTGGTGTGTCCATCCTTAATGAGCCTGGGAACGCAGCTGGATTAACTGGGATAATTGGAATGGGACTGCAATCAAAGTTTCAATTAGAATGGAGCTACAGTTATCTTGCTCCCTGCCTGATAGGTGATTTGCTATCTGTTCATTTCAAATTAGAGTATTAGTCTTACTCTGACGTTTAATCTCACAAGTCAGGTCAGAAACTAAATCTTCTGTTTGGATCGACCACACCAGGTCTTACGTTCATCTACAGACTACCTGTGTTCCTTTCACGTCAAGGCAACAGTTCTACCAGGCCGAAGCTAAAATGTTGTGCAATGTGTAGCACTCATAACATAAGTTGTTACTGACTCTCAACTACTACCACACCAGATTTTAAGCCCATATATGTAAAATTGACCGAGTTATATCCTTTTTTGTGTTAGCTAACGTCCATTCCACGTGATAAATACTCAAAAGTCCACTCTTTTAGTGGACTTTTTAGGATGTGTGAGAAAAGCGATGTGGTAAAGCTTTCCCCGAATTTGGAAACTTTACTTAACCTTAATCCAGAGTGCTAGATTACAACAACCTTTACAGCTGCGCTGCATTTGCACCGTTGTGTATGAAACATCCTTTTAGTTGAGTAGTGTTGAACACAAGTAAAAAATTCTAATGGTGATGTTGTTTTCAATATTTAATTTCTCTATAAACACAAATAGTGCCGACCTGAATGAGAATTATTGGATTTGATACCTGGGGGGTTGAGTATGAACTTTGTTGACCTGACGCTGTGTGTTAGTGAGCATTAAAGTTGAAATGTCTTGCACAAACTTGGTGAGAAACATGCTTTAAATGTGTGGAATTAAAGGACATCTAGGTGAAATGCTGCTTTTGTATGTTAATCACCTTTAAACAGGAGCCATACACAATAGTGCACGTAAAGCTGTAATCGTGCACTCTGGATTTGAATGAGAGTAAGGCTTCTGAATCTGGGGAAAGCTTCACCGCAGTGTTGTCGACTGGGGTGGGGGTGGGGGGGGGTGAGAAATGGAGCGTGCTCTATTCACACAAGGAGAGCTGTTGGTCAGGTTACTTCTTGTTACTCTCGAAAATACTTGTTGAATCAAGCGTTTACAAATGTAGGTAAACGGAGATGTTTAACAACCCGTTAAAATACACCAGAATGCAGAAAATGGCATCTACTTTATTTTTAAAAAATTTAGGCAGAGGACACCCAGATCACCCACCAATGTGTCATTTTAATTACTGTTTTTGTTAAGTATTTTGGTCACCATCACCTTTGCTGTGTAAAGCGCTATAGAAATAAATAAATGAAATGAAATTTCAGTTCAATAATAATAAAACTGACTGAGTTATAGCAATGTTTGTGCTCATTTAGTTTGCCTAACTGTGGTGGCCATTTTAAATGGGGTTGACTCTAAAAAGTTAATTAGTTGTAGATGTGCATCATCCAATAACAAGGTCGTCATTATAAATGAAACATGGTTTTTGACTGACTTAACTGTTAGAAGAAAGTTTCAGATTACTTTCCAGGAATTTCATTGAAATCAGTTTTTTGATTTATGAGATATTTTGCTAACAAATGAACACACTCACTCACAGGCATGGGCACAAAAATGATTGCACTTGTACCTTGGGTGGCAGGCGACAACATAAAGAAATGCAACGTTACACTTTTCTTGTGCTTTTTCTTTCTTATGCAATTTGCATAAAAGTCCATAACAGATCAGATATTTTTGTTCCATCTGTTAAATTATTATTTTTAATTTATGTTGGGTTTTTTTTTTACTAACTAATGACTGTAGCCTACTTTAATGCCTAATTACTCATTTCAGGTCTTCTGATAATCTCAGAGGACCTGATTAAAATTATTTTCTCCTGCTAAATACTTCTGACCACTAGGGGGCAGCAGAGTAAAACGTCGCTGGTGTGTTTGTTTGACACGAAGAAAAAAGACAGCGAAGAAGAAGAGGACACAGAACTAGAATACATAGAACACGTTTTGGTAAGTAAACTAAATAAAATCAATCAAAACTTTTAAGCGGATCAAAGTAAATCGTGTGCATTTACATTTTAGAATATAAATTCAGGCAGTGAAACTATTTTTTTACCCATACATAAAGACAAATTGCTCAGACACGAAGCGACAGCTCATCTATGAAACGCATTTCTACTAAGAAGCTGCTGTATTGTTTTGATAAAGGAAATCATTTTTCTAGCTAAAGCTGCGGAGGAGATTAAATCAGGTCAGTCTCTCGACTGTAATTTAATCCGTGGAGTTATTTGTTTGTGCTAATTCATCCACATTTCAAACAGTGTCACTAAAGATAAAACTGATTTTTTTTTATTATCGCTGCTAACCAGCAGCTGGCTAACGCTAATGCTAATGCTAGTCAGGAGGAGCACAACGAACTCTAATTTAATCTATTTAGTGTCAATAAATTACTACTTTACTGGTATTATAATGTTTAATCTTTACTGCAAAGAGAATCAGACAGTAACAGAGCTGTTTTTAATAAATTAACGCCTAAAATGATCATATTACATGATGATGCTAACCGGCGGTTTGCTAGTTTTCCATAAAAATATTTTGACAACTCGTCGTTATCGATGAATAAATAATTTAAGTAAATTAAAATAAGTCCCATCACTCACTGAGTGTCAGGGTTTCATCACAATAATTTAACATTAGCTTTCATAAGTTAGCTAAGGATACATTTTAATTTTTACTGACTTACTGTTAGATGTAGCATGTCAAAAAAATATATATTATTTTTTAATAGTACACGTTTTATAATTATTTATAATTATTAATTTAGGAAAACAAATGGGCTTTATTTACTAAACAAATTTTCAGTCGATTACATCCATCAATCTGTAAAAAAGCTTTGTTGTTTTGCTGAATAGTTAAACTGTTAAATCTTAAATGTGCAAAACTTTAAAATTGATGTTTACATTTTTTTACTTTAGTATGTACATAAAATAAACTGTACGTTTTATTTGTATTTTAATATGAAGTGTTTAATGTCTGTTTCGCTCACAGCTTTATTGTTAATAAAGAACAAATGCAGTTTTTTATCTAATATAACAATAAACAACATGGAACTAAATATTTGGAGTTCATTCGTGGCTCAAATAGTTTTCTAATCAAAAATTTGGATCAGTTTAATTTATATAAATGTATGAAATAAACATTTCACATGTGCTGTATTCTTATTTTTATTACAGCCTCAATTAGACAAATCCTCTAAGAGTAAATTTGAATGATAAACACAGAATATTTGGTTTTGTTACTACTTTTTAATGACACTTTCATAAAGTAATCACTGAGTTTACATCGATAATTGATTAACTTTTAGAGTCAGTCCAGTTCAAGATGGCCGCCCCAGCTAATGGACCTTAGACCCAACAATGGCTCTAATTCAGGCTAACTTACTAAAACTGAGCCAAAGTTTGATGTCATCATCGAGTCGTGCTCTGAGTGCAAACAAGTGTTGTGTTGATTCGTTACACGGTTACCGGTTCAACACTGACAACATCAAAATGTGGGTGGGAAAGATGAAGCACTCACACCTGCCTCCACCCTCATTTGCCCCACTCTGGGCCCTTGAGCAAGGCTCTTAACCCCCACCATCTGCTCACCCGGGCATCCTGGATGGCAGCTCTGCTCCTCACAGAGGCGGTGGTAGCTCGGTGTCTGTGGTTGTGTCAGGAAGGACATCCGGCGTAAAAACAATCACCAGGTCTTCGTGTGCGTTCGTTTGTTGTGACGAGCCCTGAAGAAGGAGCAGCTGAAAGAAGAACCACCAAACTGGAGCAGCGTCCGGTTCTTCTCATAAGAGGATCCCGGTTTAAAATTCTGTCCTGAAATTTGGAACACATTTTAAACAGTTTTTTACCGGTATATTGAACATTGTATTGCCAACACTGTTGACCGATGAATTTAAATCTTCAAACTTTCTTTATGTGTTGTTTTATAAACCATTTACAGAAAGCATTCATGCTTGCACACATGTCGTGGTGTGGCCGTTTTAGTTTAATTTAAATTAAAGTTGGTCCATTCCAAAGCTTGTGCTGTGATGGTTTTCAAGTTCAAGTAGGTTTATTGTCATTCTCATCACATGTGGTTCATGAGGTGGAACGAAATTATGTACTCGGGGTCCCAGTTACACCCAATAATAGAAAAAATACAAAGAGTAAAAAGAAACAGTAAATGAGGATCCAAGATGTACACTTAAGATACACGGATGTACTTAGGACTTTAGAGTTGAAGTTGGGTGATTTGACACAACTAAGTGAACTCTGCACAGCTTCATCATGCCAACAGAGAAAGAATGATCTCATTCTCTCACACAGTGGGATTTTATTAGATTTTTATTTTATTTTTTATGTAAGATTGAACTTTTTTTTCCAGTTTCAAATCATTGTGAGGTTGTCTCCAGCAGAGGGCGCTGTTGCTTTGTTATTATGAGCAGTGTTCAGAACAAGCAGGTATCTGCAGACAAATACAGAAGGCGTATCTGGAGGGACGCATCTGATTGGACGATCTTTCCGGCTCGCTTAACACAGAACTTCCGGTTACATTTCAAAATAAGAGCAACGTAAATGGGTAGTGGGGAGGGCTAAATGTTTGGTTTTTAATACGTAGCCATTACATTAAACAACAAAATCAGTTTTGGTTGTTGAATAATGTGAAAATAGTTACAATCAATTAAGAAAGAAAGAAAAATAAAGTAGCCAAAATAATAATGATATTTAAACTGTCTTTGGGACAAAGGATGTTTCCTTTAACTTCACATTTTCTTGTTCAACCTTTTAAATCAGTCACTGCAGATGAGTGATTGTCAGTTTCTGTCAGATTTCTGCACCTGGAGCAGGTTTACTGTTTACTGGTTCAGCTCCTCAGCTGTCTCACATTTTAAAGGTCAACCCTGCTCCGTGTTTCAGCTCCTTTCATTGATCACATCTCATAGAAGAGCGCTTTTTGTTTTTCGTGTTTGTTTTGGGCCATTATCTCGTCGTAGGACTCATGATCTTTAACTGAGACCAGACTTTTTGACAAATGGGAGCAGGTTTCTCATCAGATGCTTCACACTTCATTGTACCCAGACCACACTCACCTGTGTCAGGTGCAGCCTACAACCCAAGGACTAAAGAGGATCTTCTTGTGTTTGACAGCAGATATATCGCTGTTTCTTAGAAACCTTCAGTTTTTAAAAGAGCTGACGTAACTTACCTAAGAGCAGCAAATACAGCCAATCAGTGTTTGCCCTCTTGAAACGCCTATTCTCCAGGAACGCCCACTTTGGGTCTGCAGAGAGCCCCGTCTCGTTCAGAAGGAATTTACTCTTTGTGTGTGTGATTTAAAGTCCCATCCGTGCATCATCGTCTCACAGTTTCTGCTCAGTCTGAAAGTAAACGCATTAGTAAAGATGAGGTTTTATAAATCTTTTGTAGAAAGACAGCGGCAGGAGGCTGACACCACACACCAGGAGGTTGCTTTCTTTTTATGCTGTGATTTCTGAGGTCAAAGGTTAAAACAGATGGTGCTCCTCTTGTTTCTGATGTCAGCCTGGGGGCTCTTTGCCTGCACTTACTCAGAGGAACCACAGTTTAACTCAGTGCTATTCCAGTAAAGACTAGTAACGGTAAAACTTTTCTTTCTACGGTTTGTTATAGAAAAGCACATCGCTCGTCGTGTTTCGTGCCAGACTTTAAAACTAACGTGGCAGGAAATGACTGAGCTGCAGCCGCTTTGATCGAACTTTAAAAAAACAAGACCGTGCGGTCTCGTGGTTATTGGAAGGTGTCGCACTCTTTCAGCTGTTACGGCAGTAAGTTTTAGTGCAGTGTCTGTTGAATGACTGATTTTTAGCCATCTGGGTGTTTTCTAAGGTCCGTCGGTTGAATCTGTCTGGCCCCAAAAGTTCATCACTTGTACATTTACATCCAGTGAGTAGTTCCTAAAGTTACATTAAAGTGTGTTCAGGAGTTTAATTCAAGATAATTCAACTAATGTCTTGTTTTGTTCTATGTTCCTCCTGCATTGATGAACAGTGATGGATGAGCAGACGGACTCTCCTGCAGCCAACGCAGACAGCAGCATCCAGAGAAATGGAGACGAGGTTAACTACACGACTTGCTCTTAATCCTGACTCCTCATCAGGGCGGAGCGGCACCTTTCAGCCGGCTCTCCTTTTCTTGTGTTCGCAGAAACCTCGGCGTGGCAGCTGGACCAAAGGGAGGAAGAGGAAGAAGCCGATGAAGGACAGCAACGCACCCAAAGCTCCCCTGACGGGCTACGTTCGCTTCATGAACGACAGGCGAGAGCAGCTGCGGGCGGAGCGGCCGGACGTGCCCTTTCCGGAGATTACCAGGATGCTGGGCAACGAGTGGAGCAAACTGCCCCCCGAGGAGAAGCAGGTCGGAGGAGACAGGATTACAAGCTGAGCACAAATCTGCGAAATGAAACGTCTCCAAGCGTTTCTTTAAATGTGCCTCGGTTTAATTTAATTTCCAGGTCTTTGGGCCGTCGCCTCTGTCGGCTGTGCAGCCGTTGACAAAACGCTGGAAAGAAATAAACCGAGGAGAAGCAGCAGGTTGAAAAAGAGTCACTGTTTTCACTGTAACCAGAATCAGCGAGAAAACAGGAGCCCTTAAAGTTCACGGTGTCGGCTGCCTTCCACACGAGCGGCGTGACACCTTTTTATTATTGTTTGCACGCGATTTGATGCCATCATTCATTCTGGCCTAGTTAAACCCTTTAATGTTGTGTTGGGTAACAAAAATAGATCCATAAACATGCTCAGCCGTCTGCGCCGCAAACGTCTGATCGTCGCCATCATGTTCACGCAGCGTTTCACGGAGCCTCCAGTGACGGTCGGTTCTGCCTCGGTGCTTCGTTTGTTTTTAAATTTCACTGAACGGCTCAACCTTCTCACTGTCGGTCGAAGCTTTAGCTTTGGAGTTTTCCTGCTCTGCCTTTTGTTTTTGTTTTTTAGAACAATCTGTAGCTTTTTTTTTTTTTTTTTTTACATTCATTCTCTGGCAGTTAAGCACCCAAGACAAAGAGGTGGAATCAAATGAACCGGCCCCGGGTGAAAGGTCACGTGACTGTACTGAAATGATTGTAATAGGTGTCAGGGGATTTTTGGTCATGGTTTATAAATGTTTTATCACTAATGTTGAATTAATGTTGAACCATGTGTGTGAGTTACCACAGAGTTGTTTTTCTCTCTGAGAGGAGCCTGCACGTGCAGCCGAGGTCATCGTGGACTGTGTGAGCTGCGAGGGCTGATAAGTGTAGACAGAGTCCCTCGTTTATCACGGGGGATCTGTACCCTGAAGACCCGTGAAAAACCACGAAGTAGGAATAGTAGTACGAGTAGTTTTAGTATTTATATATATATTTATATTAAGGCATTTTAAACCTTTCCCACGCTCTTCTAAACAATGTTTCTAAACGCTCTAAAAGACACAGAATGTCATGATTTCAGCTCCTGCCTGCTCTGCTCTTTGCCACCTGTGCTCTTGGCCACGCCCACTTCTCCGTTGCACGGTGATCAGCTGATCAGCTGCAGCAGGAAGTTTATCCTGTGCAGCAGGTGCTGAATAATTTAAAATAATTTATTTCAAATAAAAATCCCATGCCGATCCTGCGGCTCGTCCATCAATCAGCCAGTTGTGTCATGTCCAATCTTTATTTTGAAAAACTGCGATGGAGTGAGTCCGCAATAAACGAACCGCGAAGTAGCGAGGGACCACTGTTAACACTTCTCACACGCTGCTGCTCAGAGGATGCATCATCATGTTTACAAGTGTCTTCCGAGTCTGGTGATCCAGCAACTGCCTGATAACACTCACTCCACTCATGATGTCACCAGTTATCCCTTCTCGTGCCTGTTTTGGACTTATCAGCTGAAAACTGGTCTGCATGTGGACAAACAGTTTTGTGTTCAGTGACTTTAGTTCATTATCAGGAAAACTCTCACAATCCAACTTGATTCTGTTCTGCTTTAGCTCATGTTTAGTTTATTTTTAATCTGAGTTTTCTCTTGTCTCGTCTCTGCAGCGATACTTGGATGAAGCCGAGCGAGATAAGGAGCGCTACATGCGCGAGCTCGAGAAGTACCAGAAGACGGAGGCGTACAAACATTACACCAGGAAGGTCCAGGAGAAGCAGAAGGGCAAGAGGCACAGAGGAGGTGAGGAGGGAGGCCGAGGGGCGGCAGGTTTGGCAGATTGCCCACTTTCCCTTTTAGGACTTCCTGTTTGAAGAGTGACAAACTTCCCGTGACTGATGGCGTTTAGATAAACCCGTCATTGTTTGCTGCTCAGATCCTGTCGAGACGGGATGACTCACGTGGACCTAAATCTGATACAGAAGGGAGCGGAGAGCAGAAAAGAAAGTTTGAGATTTCAGTTTTGGACCTCACGAGTGATCAAGTGGATCTGCTGCAGTGGCTCTCTTGTTGTGTCATGTTGTGCCTCTTTTTGGAAAAAGAAACATTCTTTGGGTTTGTAAATCTTAAAAAATATATAGTTCAGTCTCTTCCAAACTCAAAAGTCTAGGCATAAATGTCGTCTCTTTATTAGTGAGGTCGTATTTAATTTATTCAGTCTTTAGTTTCCCTAATAATCGTTTCAGTTTCTTTTGGAAAGCTCAAGTGGCCTAAATGACCGAAGTGCCGTGATTACCAGACTGTAAGACGCTACGTTTTCCACACCCTTCACACTGCGGTGCAACAACGCTGCAACTAATTTATTTATTTATTTTGATGGGCTAACGAGCTTCATGCTGCCAAAACATTTAGGCTCGTCACCGGGGTGCCCAAAACACATCGTCGCTCTTGGGGGGTGGGTCCTCGTAACTCAATGAGACTACCTGTATATAAAGGTAAAACAGTATTAATAATGTGACCAGTGAAATTACAGAACAGAGTGGACCAGTGAAACGGGGAGGAGAGAATGGGCCTCCCTGTTGTGCCCCCAGGGAGGGAGGAATCGAAGCTTTCGCAGAAGGAAGGTGACGATAGCGATCAGTGACTTCTTGGTAGGATACTTTATTCATTTTTTTACCCAGCTCTGTTACAGACACTGTTCAGAAAAAAACATTTACTGTTCGTATTTGTGTTTGTTACCGGTACGTATTTAATTAACAGTTCAAAAAATCTTTCTGTGTAAATATCTCGTGTTACAACGTGGACACCCGTTTATACGCAATCGTGGCCTATATATGTATTTTTTATTTAGTGGGCGTGGCTTATATTCGGGTGTGCTCAATGGTCCAGAAATTACGATATAATGTTTCAGTGAGAAGCAGCAATTTAAATAACCGTCAGCTGTCGGAGCTTTCAGACCCACAAACATCTCTTTTAGCTCTTCTCACTCACCGTAGTTCCAGCGGCACGATGTCTCATCTCTTTGATTTGAAGAAGCGTTTCTTTTCATCTGTGTTTCTACGCTCGCACAAGTTGTGAGTCAGTAGTGAACGGATTTTAAACGAGCTGCGGGCGCTTGGTTTTCTCTGACAGCTTGTCTCTGGTTTAAAGCGACTCCTCCTTCAGGCAGAAAACCATGAAACAGGTAAAACACCTGACGAGTGGGGGTTTGATCCGCTCTCCATGCTGCCCCGTGCAGCGGTCCGTCACAGAAACAGGTCTGCGTGATACATCGTTCAGACGTTAGTTCCACTTGTCTTTTTTTTTTGTGTTAGGCCTGAAAATGGTGGTGTTAAATTCAAGGTAAATTTTGTTAAAGTTATGTCAAAGTTTGACTTTGCTCCAGTGACACACAGTCTGCATGGATCCTGTTTTGGTTTTATTTGTTTGCAAAAAATATCGAAGCCATTTTATTCAGTCTGATCCGACTGTATCGATGACAAACACTTAAAGATCGTTTGAATTGATCTCCACCAAATTCAGTGCTTTGCCTTATTTCAGCTGATGGAGTTTCTCCTGTGTTCGGTCGTAGTGATTTATAATCACGGGGTGCCGGAGACAGAATAACTCATCTGGTGATTTGTCCTTTCCTTCCCCTCCAGATGGCGGGCACCAAGCTGCCAGTGAGGCTCTGCACGAGGTCAGTAAGTCTTTCCTGCTAACTTGCACTCAAATCACTTTTCTCCACAGAGACATATTATATTTAACATTGTGGACCAAAGCCCCCTCTTTTGCTCCGAGGGGTTAAATATGAACCACACGCCCATCGAACGTCACAGAAAGACCTTACTTGACTGACGTAACTCGAGCTTTTCATTCAGCACAAATACAAAATGAAGAGGAGACTCAGGGGGTGTGGACGTCGTGCAGATCTTTATGCTTTCAGTGAATAAATAAAAAGTCATTTATTTACATCTTTATGACTATCTTAAATAGTCTTAGTCATTTCAGGTTATTGCTACAAGATTGCTGTAAAGCTCATTGGAGCTAGTTAATATTAAGACGTTGTTTAAAGTTGTTTTATTTTTTGTTTGTTTTGTCAATTTTACAAAAGCGACAGAGCTGAAGGAGTTTTCTCGCCCGTAGCTGCATCAAAAACAGTAACGTTGGAGTCTAAACACAGAAAAAGAGCCTCGCCCACGAGCTAGCTAAACATCCGTGACCCTGACGCTCTAATGTTTGGAAAACTCACCGACCGGGGTCATCGTCCTACACTCGGAGAAAAAGAAGCAAGTCACGCTTGCAGATTACCACAAGTCACCAACTACAGCTGCATCTAAAAATATTAGAACATCGAGAGAAACATCTTTTTGTGTCAGTCGTTTCAGAAAGTGCAACTCCTGCATGACATAGATCCATCACAGGTAGAGTGAACATTTACTTTAATCTGAAAAGAGGAAGTTGGACCGCTGAGCCACAGTCCAGTTCTTTGTGTCCTCAGCAGGTAAGACACTTCTAACGTCTCTGGCTCAGCAGCGGCTGGACTTGAGGAACAAGATGTTTCATGTCCAGGAGTTAATCAGCTGATCAGACTGTGACACCAGGTCTTCACAATATTCTCATTTTCTAATCTACTCGAGTTTCACTTCATGAAACGACTGACAAAACATTTGGACTTTTTCATGATCTTCTAATTGTTACAGATGTGCCTGTATAATGAAATTGACAGTGATTGACAGACCAGCCTTTAGCTCGTCAGTCCGGTCGAAGTATAACCGTCTCTAAACCAGACGTGAGCAACTTAAGGCCCGAGGGCCAAAAGTGGCCCTTGGACAATCTCCTTTAGGCCCTAAAAGAACAACTTTTTAAATAAAAATTGATTTGTAAAAAGCAGCAATTTATAAACGAGACTTAAGGAAATTTAAATTAAACATCTTGTGCAAACTTTAAAAAAGCTAAGTTTTTTTATGTCGTGTTTCCAGACGGAACCTTAAAGACTTAGAAACACAAATATGTTTGTTTAGCATAGTTCTGCTAACATGTTGTCACAAGAGCCATTTTACAGAACATGCCTTCTAATATTCCTCAAGGGTTTTTGGAAAGACCAGTTTTATAAAGCATGCTAACAACACGGTACAATAAGAAAAAGCTCTTCTTTATATCTATCTGTCATAAAGGAAATGTACTTTCCAATCCTCCGTGTGGCCTTTGATTGCTTTAAACGTCTTGATGTGGCCCTTTGGAGAAAATAAAAGTTGCCCACCTCTGGTCTAAACCCAGGTTGTTCAAAAAGACATTTATTACCGTAACCGTCCTCAAAATCCCACTTTAAATAAACATGAACCGTTGAACTCTTCTGAAAGTGCTCGTCCTCTTTCTACTCGACGTGTTTATTGTGGCTCCACTAAAGCTGGATCAACCTGCGCTGGAGCCGTGTTCACGATCCAAACACTTGTCTGGTGCGACGTGTGGGCGCACACACCTGTTATCATCCACCTGACCAGGGTCTTTCTCCTCCATCGACTTTAATTCAACCTCAACGTGTCCTCCCACAAACGTTATATCGAATCGACTCAGTGCCGTGATGCGTGCTTTACTTTTAGTGGTGTTTCGAGTTACCACGACGACGTAATTTGCCAACAAGCACGCCATTTTTCTCTGAAAAAACACTGACAGAACTTTTAGCTTCTAACTGCCACAGTGAGGTCACGTGACCTAGAGCGGAGGTCTCCGAGCAAAACACCGATTAACTTTTGGAGCCATTTTGCTTCAAGATGGCTGCCACAGCTACCTGAGAAAAAGCAAAACTGACAATAACTCGGTCATTCTTTGAGATATTGAGCTGAAATTTGGTGTGGTGGTACCTGACAGTGATGCTCAACACATTCTGAAATCAAATCTAAAAATATTGTCTAATCAAAAGTCCCCGTCGAAGTCTCTCCAGGAACTTTCTAGTTTTTATTCATCTCCGTCTTGATTAGAAGCGTTTTCTTTGTAGCTCCTTTAGAGAGTCATCTGAAGGTTACAGCCGAGATGTCTGAACCGGAATCAGTTCTGTAGGAATATTATTGTTTCCCGCCTCAGGATTTCTAATAGCGTGAAGTTTGGCATTACTGTCATCGTGTTGGAGAAGGAAGAAGGATGACGCGTTGTTAGAGCAGAGGATGAAACCTGCGTTGCGTCTTCTCTTTCAAAGAACTTCTTATTGCAGATTTATTGCAGAGCCTTTCGTATATCCAGAAGCGCCACTGATGAAATTAGTTCTTATGCATTTTGCAAAACTGTCTCACTGTATATCTCTTCTGGCCAGATGGGAAAATCAATTACCAGCCCACCCACAGCCCCGTTAGATGAATGTCTGTGTCTCGCTGTCAGTATGTGCAGCCGAGCTAATCTTCCCTCTTCGTGTTTGGTTAATAACAGAAAGATGCAGAGGGGAAGGACAGAACTGTGTTTGACATACCCATCTTCACAGAGGAGTTCCTCAACCACAGCAAAGGTAAAGAGCGGGAGCGTTACAAGAATCTTTTCCCCACTTCCTTTTGTCTGTTTTGTCTTCTTCCTCTGAAGAACGGCCATGTTGTGCACCACTGGAATGGCTTCACAAAACGGTACACTAAACTAATCACAGTAACGCCCTCCAACATTCAGATACTAAAAGACAAACTGCTCTGTCACGATGGATTGGGTTGACTCTAATGTGGCCGTTTCCGTGTGACTGGGTTTTCTTCGGCAGCACGAGAAGCCGAGATGCGGCAGTTGCGCAAGACCAACATGGAGTACGAGGAGCGAAACGCCGCCCTGCAGAAGCACGTGGAGAGCATGCGCGGAGCCGTGGAACGCTTGGAAGGTGACGTGATGCAAGAGAGGGAACGCAACGGCCTCCTCCACCAGCACTTAGAGACCCTGCGTCAGGCGCTCGCCTCCAGTTTCTCCTCCGTGCCTCTGCCGGGTAAGACCAGCCACAGTCTGGATTAAATTGTTCTGTAGGATTATAGATGTGCACATAAAGGCAATTCAATGGGGTGCAACGATATACAGACGTCACGGTTCCGTACAGTCAGAGGAATACATGAATGGAGTTAATTCCAGCGAAGAAGCTAGGACAGAGAAACTCCACCTCTCCACCGCTTCATCAGTGGAACCTGGAACTTCTCCACACTGCTGATTTTAAAGCAAAAGCTAATGTCTCACTAACTTCCACTCTTACAGTGACTCTGCTGAATAGCAGTTTGTCAACGGGCGTATGAAGTGCCGTACGCGTTGCAGCCTCAGCCACATTTTGAGCAGTATCTTTTTAAAAACCATAAAGTTCCTGGAGAGACTTTGACGGGGACTGCCACGTGGCGGCCATTTGAAACTTTAGATGACAAAAATTCCTACATTTTTATAAATGTGCATCTTAAAAGATGATGTGGTAGGACGGGCTTGTTTGATGACTTACTGAGTTTTGTTCGTGGAGCTCTCCACTCCAGGTCATGTGACCTCACTGTGTCAGAGACTGGGAAGAGTTC